GAAGAAAGGTCAGGCTTTCACGCGGGCACGCGCGTTCCTGTGTATGCATGCGTGCGTGCGTGCGTGCGTGCGTGCGCGCGTGCGTGCGCGTGTGTGTGTGTGCGTGCTCGGCCAACTAAGGCAAGACCGAGATAGGAACACTGGCGTGAAGGAATAAAGACACTAATTATTTAATCAAATGTTCAAATTGATGTCCTTTGACAACTTGGCAGTGTCTTAAACGAATGTAAAACGTTTCAATTACGTTTGTTAAAAAATCGGGTGTGATTGAATTTGAAACGTTCACTATTTTTTCCCGCAGCTCTTCTAAATTTTCGGACCTAGTCTCATAGACCTTTGTTTTCAAAATTATTACAATTTGCTAAGAAACAAGTGATACCGGCTATTCAAGATATTGCTGGAGAAGCTTTCTACAATGTTTGGTTTCAGCTGGATGGGGCTCCAGTTCATTTTTCTCTGCAAGCTCGTAATATTCTAAACGATGTTTTCACTGATCGATGAATTAGTAGAAGAGGCACAATAGAATGGCCACCGAGATCACCAGATCTGACCCCATTAGACTTCTTTTACTGGGAGTATTTGAAAACAAAGGTCTATGAGACTAGGTCCGAAAATTTGAACATTTGATTAAATAATTAATGTTTTTATTCCTTCACATACGCCAGTGTTCCTATCTTGGTCTTGCCTTAGTTGGCCGAACACGCATACACACATACACACACACGCACGCACGCACGCACACACAGAAACGCGCGTGCCCACGTGAAGCCTGACCTTTCTTCTGTTGTCGCTGTGGGCCCTCGCAAAATCTCAATGTTCAAATGATCATAACTTTGCGAAAAAAATCGTAGAGACTTCGGCGACCTAGTGTTTCGTCTCGGAAAGCCCTTTCGAACGAGCCCTCACTCAACCCAACACGCCATTTGAGATTTTTTAGCTCCCCCCTCCCCTCGGTCCCCGGGGGTGTGGAGGTGGGTGTTTTTGTGGTTAAATAATAGACTTTGTGATCCCATTGAATCCTTATAAATTTCAATCCTATATTTCAAACCGTTCAAAAATTATTTAGGTGGCCCCGAACTTTTGGTAGGCACTGTATATACAGGGTGTCCGGAATGTGATCATTAATATTTTGTGTACTGGTAGAACTCGTTAAAACAATTAAAAAAAGTCCTGTGCCATTTTACAATTTTTTCAATATTTATTCCGTAATTAATTAAAATGTGTAAACGAATGAGCGCACGAGAATGCGACAGGACGGGCTCTGTGTATAAGAAGATGGCTTACCTCGCGCGACGACAGACAACCGTAAGCGACAAGAGGCGTGCACGCGCGACGAGGAGTGAGCGAGCGCGAACGACGAGCGAGCGAGCGCAAGCGATAAAAGGCGGCCGCTCAGTGCTCTCTACGTGCTCATTGGCTCATATTTCAATTAATAACTCGATAACTATTGCCAATTTGACATTATGGTACATGACTTTTCTTCTCGGCTACACCCAATCTACCAGTACACAAAATATTAATGATCACGTTCCGGACACTCTGTGTATATATATATATATATATATATATATATATATATACAGGGTGTTTGATAGCTGATCATGCAGACGAAAGTTGGAGATAGATTGGGTGTAGCCGAGAAGAAAAGTCATGTACCATAATGTCAAATTGGCAATAGTTACCGAGTTATTAATTAAAACATGTGAGCCAACGAGCGCGTAGAGAGCGGAGGGCGGCCGCAGTAAGCACATAGACATTTGATACAGGCGGAGTCAGCGAGTGACGGTAGGCGAGCGCGCGCGGCGAGGGGCAACGTAAGCGACAAGAGGCGATCGCGCGCGACGAGGAGCGAGCGAGCGAGCTTTTTCTTTACAGCTTTTTCCTTTATAGGCTCGTTCGCTCCTCGTCGTTCGCACTCGCTCGCTCTTCGTCGCGCTCACTCGCCTCTTGTCGCTTGCGCTCGCTCGCTCCTCGTCGTTCGCGCTCGCTCGCTCTTTGTCGTTAGCGCTCGCTCGCTCCGAATTAAAGCGTGTTAGCCAACAAGCGCGTAGAGAGCGGAGGGCGGCCGCAGTAAGCACGTAGACATTTGATACAGGCGGAATCAGCGAGTGGTAGGCAAGCGCGCGAGACGAGGGGCAACGTAAGCAACAAGAGGCGAGCGAGCGCGAACGACGAGGAGCGAGCGAGCGCAAGCGACAAAAAGGCGAGCGAGCGCGACGAGGAGCGAGCGAGCTTCTTCCTTATAGCTCGCTCGCTCCTCGTCGCGCTCGCTCGCTCATCGTGCGCGCTCGCCTCTTGTCGTTTACGTTGCCCCTTGCCGCGCGCGCTTGCCTGCCGCCACTCGCTGACTCCGTCTGTATAAAATGTCTACGTGCTTACCGCGGCCGCCCATCGCTCTCTACGCGCTCATTGGCTCACAGGTTTCAATTAATAACTCGATAACTATTGCCAATTTGACATTATGGTACATGACTTTTCTTCTCGGCTACACCCAATCTATCTCCAACTTTCGTCTGCATGATAAGCTTTCAAACACCTTGTATATATAAGAAATATACAGGGTGTTAAAAAACTGCAAACGATCAAATATCTCGAAAACGAAACGTTTCTGAGAAAAATGTTTCCAACCAAAGTTGTAGGGTTTTAAAAGTTCTATTGAATGATCATATCTGTTTGACCTTGAGTGGAGGGGTCAAAGCGAGGTCAAGGCCAACATGATTTTTTAAAATGGAACACCCCTTTTTTATCATATAGTGTTAAAGATGATAGCAAGACGTTTCCTAAACATTATTTGATGACCTATTTTTGTTGAGAATTGTCTGAGTTATGAGCGTTAGAATTTACGGTGCCGCCAGCATTAGTATTGTCCGAGATGTACGGTCGCGGACATAATAGTATGTGCCCGTTTTTTGCAACTTTCGGAACGCATCTCGACTTGAGAAGAATGAGAGTCACTGCTCCGCCTGCGGAGCACGCCTGCGCAGTGACTCACAACGAAAGGCGAGAAATGAAATATACACGGTGGGACATATTATAATAATACAGACTCAGATGAAATGAATACTCTAGCATTAAATGGAAATGAGGGAACACAGAACAGACAAAAATCATCCGATGTAAGTTTTATACTCCGGGGGACATCCGAAAAAGGTAGAGATAAATAAACATTTCTATGTTTATGTTTTTAAAACAATACGAACTTAATTAAGAAAATTAAGCTGCATTACGATAATTACGATTCTATTATACATTTATATGTGATTTATTGTTTCAGCAACAGCCATCTTCTATAGCAGAAGCAATGATATTAGGTACAGAAACAGCTGTTATATAACAGCTGTTTATTATTATAATATGTCCCACCGTGTATATTTCATTTCTCGCCTTTCGTTGTGAGTCACTGCGCAGGCGTGCTCCGCAGGCAGAGCAGTGATTCTCATTCTTCTCGAGTCGGGATATGTTCCGAAAGTTGCAAAAAACGGGCACACATTATTATGTCCATGACCGTACCGCGTGGAGGTTGCATGGTCGGACTTTATACTCCTGTGTATATGTGTGTGTCAGCAAAGCTAAGGAACTCGCGGTTCGTCACTCCCGCAGTATTTAATGGTTGCGTTCAAAAAAATAAGCGCTCATTGAGCGGCTAGTAACTATTGGTCCTTACTTAGATGCTTACATTCAGACCAATAACATTGACGAATTACACAACCGTTGTGTAACCGTCGTGTTTTCTGAACGAAGCCAATGCGTCCCCCTCTCTGCTGTGAGTGTGGGTGCGTGTGCGTGCGTGTGTGTGCGCGCGCGTTGTGTGTGTGCGTGCTCGTGCGCGCGCGCGTGTGTTGTGTGTATGTAAGAATAAGGATGAGGAGCTCTTACAAATGGTTTATAAGTCTAATGACAGTTTACAAATAACTTATTAGAATGTGTATGCAACGAAACCTGCTAACTTGGTAGACCTTAGAGAATGCATACTGCACCAAATAAATCTTACCTCACCAGATGAGACGAAACGTTTTAAATGAATTTCATCTACGATTAGGTCATTGTCAAGCAGCAGACGGAAGACAATTTGAACATTTAATTTAGTAAAAACCCGTCTACATATACACGTACGCGCGCGCGCGCATATACACACACACACGTACACTCACACACGCACACATACACACACACACACACGCACACACACACACACACATCACACGCACACACACGCGCGCACACACACACACACACGCACACACACATGCACACACATGCACACGCGCGCGCACGCGCGCACACACACACACATACACACATACATATACACATACACATACAGGGGTGTAAAGTCCGACCATGCAACCTCCACGCGGTACATCCTGGATAATACTAAGCTGGCGGCACCGTAAATTTTAAAACTCATAACTCAGACAATTCTCAACAAAAATAGGTCATCAAATAGTGTTTTGCAAATGTCTTGTTGTGATCTTTAATACTTTATGATAAAAAAATGGGGTGTTCCATTTAAAAAAATGTTGGCCTTGACCTCGCTTTGACCCCTCCACTCAAGGTCAAACGGATATGATGATTCAACAGAACTTTTAAAACCTATAACTTTGGTTGGAAACATTTTTCTCAGAAACGTTTCGTTTCGATATATTTTAACCGTTTCCAGACTTTTCTAATACCCTATATATACATAACGGATGCATATTAAATATATATACTTTAAAAAAATTCTTGAAATTGAGAACTTTAATATTTATTATCTTTAGATCCATAACTAATGAAACAAATCATACATTATCTGAAGATCAATTTAAAATGAATGATAATGATAATGAATTTAATTAGTCAATTATTTTATAGTCTCGAATATATAAGAATAGCCTATGAATACCAGCTTATTATGCACTGATGCGCTCTACTGCATCCAATTGAATTTGCCGAAGATAATAATACATATTTAATTTGTTTTGAAAATGTAATTATTAAAACTGCTTTATTTTCTTCAGATACAGAGTCAGATGAGTTAGTAAAACCAGGTACGGACGAGATAAAGGATAATCAATGGCTAGGAGTTACTGTACGCAGTCAAGGAGTAGGAGGTAAAGTAATGGTGAGTCGAGAATGATAAAGTAACACTATTGTATCTTGAAGAGGAGAGTGTTATGAACTTATAATTTACATAATAATATCATCTTTTTATCTATTTCTCTAAAATGAGATATACAAAGATTCATCAATTTTATTGATTATTTGCAGGTATGCGCACATAGGCATATTATCAAAACACTTGATTCTCAGTGGGGTCAAGGCCAATGCTACATATTAAATCAAGATTTAAAATATAACGACTTGAAAAAACCATGCTCTGGAAAGCCCACAAACAAGTAATACTATCGATTATATTTCGTTTTCAAATACATCTCTTTTACTACATTACACACTAAATATCATAAAACTCGCGGATATATTCTGTATGCATTTCAAAGTAGACATGCTTTGTTTTGATCATCATTCAATTCATCAATTTTTTTTCGACATTCAATTAGACTTTAACTATTAGTATAAATAAGATCTTGGTATTTTCAGGGCACACGAGCAGTTCGGTTACTGCCAAGCTGGTACTAGCGGTTTATTAACGATAGATGATCGTGTGCTGATCGGCACACCGGTCCACATACCTGGAGAGGTACTGTATATCTGTCCTCCGTGTCGGACGAATTTTTGTCACGGGATACTACAGTTTACAGCGCACCGATGCAAGACTTGTCGCCTGTGAATAAATACAGCTATCTCGGTGTGTATAATACGTGCACGTTGTATCTTGAGCCGTAATTTTTTAGCAAGAAAACCATTTCCTAACGTTCAGCTGCAAAAAGGCTCGATAATGAGCAACTTCTTAAGGCCTCGGGTTTTTTAAGAATCTATTTTCTTTTGAAACTTGACGTGTATTGCAGGAATGTCTGTAGCAGTTGGAAACTTTTTCGGCAAAGACTTGGCTACGCGCGGGGCCCACGATCTAACGGCACGGGGCAGGTGGTCCTATTCACCAGACATGATTTTCAGACCGGAGATGGAAGTTATGCTCGTTCTTGACGGAGAACAGTTCGCCTCCAGCTATGGATACGAAATTACGTCGGCAGAACATAAACGGAGACAAGTAAGACCATGTTGCGTTAAACGTGTCATATGCGCGCGCGCGTGCGTACAGGGTGTTTGATAGCTGATCATGCAGACGAAAGTTGGAGATAGATTGGGTGTAGCCGAGAAGAAAAGTCATGTACCATAATGTCAAATTGGCAATAGTTACGAGTTATAATTAAAACATGTGAGCCAACGGCGCGTAGAGAGCGGAGGGCGGCCGCAGTAAGCACGTAGACATTTGATACAGGCGGAGTCAGCGAGTGGCGATAGGCGAGCGCGCGCGGCGAGGGCAACGTAAACAAGAGGCGACGCGCGCGACGAGGAGCGAGCGAGCGCGAACGACGAGGAGCGAGCGAGCGCAAGCGACAAGAGGCGAGCGAGTGCGACGAAGAGCGAGCGAGCGCGAACGACGAGGAGCGAGAGCTATAAGGAAAAAGCTATAAAGAAAAAGCTCGCTCGCTCGCTCCTCGTCGCGCGCGATCGCCTCTTGTCGCTTACGTTGCCCCTCGCCGCGCGCGCTTGCCTACACGCAACTCCGCTGACTCCGCCTGTATCAAATGTCTACGTGCTTACTGCGGCTGCCCTCCGCTCTCTACGCGCTCGTTGGCTCACATGTTTTAATTAATAATCCGGTAACTATTGCCAATTTGACATTATGGTACATGAGTTTTCTTTTCGGCTACACCCAATCTATCTCCAACTTTCGTCTGCATGATCAGCTATCAAACACCCTGTATAGTATATGTTACATATATTAATTAATTTAATAAGTTTGTAAGAATTTTTACGAAGTTTATAAGTATTTTTACGAAGAGTTCAAGGTTCGATACTTTTATAGTCGGACCCTTTGCTACATAGTGGTCTTCCCAAAGTGCCACCTATCATCTAAGCTTGTTTTTCCAATAATTGAAATTTTTCACATATTTTTTTACCATATTTGGTATTGTTTGACTACTAAAATGTTCTTCTAACTAATACATTAACTTTTAGAATTCATTTCAAACAAGTAATTTATGATTAATAAACATACAGGGTTCTCAAAAAGTCTTCGAACGATAAAATATCTCGAAAACAATCAGTTTTTGGAAAAATGTTTCAGGCAAAAGTTGTAAGGTTTAAAATGATCTATTTACTGATCTTATCAGTTTGACCTTGGCTAGCGTCAACAAGTCAGGGCAAAGTCACCTTGAACTTTTCAATGGAACTCCCTACATTTTTGGCATATTATTATAACGTATTTCAGAGCTTTCCAAAACACTACAACAAAGTATTTTTTTGTTAAGTACATCCCGAGTTATGAAGCTTCAAAGTTACAGTACCGTCGGCATTAGCATTACCAAGGTGTACCGCGTGGAGGTTGCACGATCGGATTTAACCTCTGTGTGTGTGTGTGTGTGTGTGTGTGTGTGTGTGTGCGCGTGTGGCGTGTGTGTGCGTGCGTGCGTGCGCGTGCGTGGTGTGTGTGTGTGTGTGTGTGTGTGCGCGTGTGTGCGTGCGTGCCATGCGTACGTGATCTACATACACACACTGCAACCTCCACGCGGTTACACCTTGGGTAATGCTAATGCTGACGGTACTGTAACTTTGAAGCTTCATAACTCGGAATGTACTTAACAAAAAATACTTTGTTGTAGTGTTTTGGAAAGCTCTTGAATACTTATAATAATATGCCAAAAATGTAGGGCGTTCCATTGAAAAGTTCAAGGTGACTTTGCCCTGAACCTGTTGACGCTAGCCAAGTCAAACTGAATAAGATCAGTAAATAGATCATTTTAAACTTACAACTTTTGCCTGAAACATTTTTTTCCAAAAACTGATTGTTTTCGAGATATTTTTATCGTTCGAAAACTTTTTGAGAACCCTGTATACTGAACAAAACTGTTGTTTTTAGAGAATAAATTAATTCGTTTACGTAAAATTTTAAGCAGGAACGTATATTTCAAATCGTTATCTGAGAGTTTTAGGTCGCTGAATATTAATCCAGTATGAATATAAAATTCAAAATGGCGGTCCAATATGCGACGGAACTTTCAAAATCAGTCGAATTCACTTGAAACTTATTATTCGGGGGTTTTTGAAGTTGCTAAAGTTGCTTAAATACGAATTCGATTGAAAAACAAAATTCAAAAATGACAGATCTCATATGGCGACCATAGTATAGAAAGAAATAAGCGCAACGTGCGCTTGAAAACCGGGCAAAACTTGACCGGTTCAACGCGAATCTTATATATCTTGCAAGCATCTGTATATCTTGCGTCAGTGGTTTGGGCATTTCGAGTTTTCGATAATGATTGTAATTAGCAACCTCGAAACCTTAAACAAAATTTTAAACGATATTCGGTTTGATTTTGAAAATTGCGTCTGCCATATGGATTCGCACATTTAATTACGTATTTTCAAATCGAATTAATATTCATTGACCGCTAAAACCTCCGAGTAACAAGTTCACAAACATTATATTATTAGTAGATATCGAAACGTTTGTCCAAACCTACGTTAATTACCTGTTAATGTTTTTGTTAACAGTCCATTCACGAACTCTTTTGCGTTGCGGAAAATCGAGCGTTCGTTAATCGAGTGTCTTTAGCGGCAGCACGTCTGTATCAAATAATTAAAAAAGTTCAACAAGGTATCTGCCTGGCACGGGAGTCAACAGCACGGTTTGGAGTTTTTGTGAACCAGAAGAGAAGAAAAATCCCGTCAGTAGCCTACCAACAAGACGACCGGAGACAGGAGAGTCGATGCTCCCGTTAATTCGTATGTTCTATGTCCAACTATGCACGATTCCGTTAATTCGATTAGTTTGAAACTGAAAACCGAATCTGTACTTCTTACCAAATGTTCGAGTATTTGATGGGTGGGGTCGAATCCATGGAGGGTATCTTATTCCGTTTAAGAAATGGTCCAGGAATTAGCCCGAAGATGATTACGCAGATTTCGTTGGTGCAAGTTCTTGTTAAGGGTACTTTTAAGACTAAAAGGAAGGCAAACTCCCGCTGTTCCTTTCCTTCAACCCTCGGTCAAAAACCCAAGATGCGGTCCGGAGAGGTGGTGCTGTCTACATTACGAATACGAGCGACAGCGGTGGATATATGAAAAACCAGAAAGATAACGATAGGACGGATGGGTCTGAGCCTGTTCGAAGGCTGCCGCTGTTAGCGTGTCCGGTCAAAGTCTTGCAGTCGTGGAAGGTGGATATGTTCTTCGTTTATTGTCAAGCCTTGTTCTAGCCAAATGTCACTTAAGGTACGATTGCGGGTGCGATAAACTATTCCTGAGCACGTATGTATCAGATACGCTCCGAATCAAAATCCATGAAATGTCATCCGCCACGGAATTCGATTTGGAGTCCGGGGTAAACGACCATAATTGGAAATCGACAGCTGTTTACTATGAATTACTATGCAGGTAGATCCGAAGGCGTATTTCTGACCTATATTATCCCTAGTTATTTTCCACACTTGCTCTTCACGCGCGCGTGCGAATTATATAAAGTCTTCGCCACGCCACGTATAGCCGTTACCTATCTGGGATTTCCCTGATGCCAGCCTTGATGAACCCTCTCGAAGGACTTGTAATTAACCTTAACTCGATAATTGAAATCTACACGAGACCATAGTAATTATACATCACGTTCTGGTTAAATGCATTCCACAATCGCTCGCTCTGCTTACCCCTCGCTCGACTCCTCGCGCCGACGCTCCGAGCTTACCCGAGCCACTAGTCTAATATATTTCCCCCGTGTATGATTGCGTCTCTATGTTTAATTCGACGGCATCGATTTCCTTAGTTTCGCACTTATTATTGTATGTCGCGCGAATAAATTGAGGTCTCACACCTTTGTCATGATAAAATTTAGTCATCAATGACTCCGATTCGATCGCAGCTGAATCCAATGGAAGTATTAAACATAATAATACTTTGGAGATTACCGATTTCGTAATTATACCACGACATCTGCTGAAACATAGGATAAGCGATTTCTTTGAGGTTCGGCACATCAGCTCCTCTAGAAGTGTACAGCGCCCTGCTCATTTTTCCAAATACACGCTCGCCGCGGTCCTATGTAGAACAGTAACGTTCAAATGTATAATGTACGACAGGTTTGGAATTTGCGCTTACGAATTTGAGCGATCTTGAACAGGAAAGAACGTATTGTGGCTATAAAGAGATATAGGACCGATCGGAGCGCTCCTTACGAAGGAAAAAGGAACGAGAATTATACATCCATATCTCGGCTTTCCAAGAAACGGGATATAATCAAAAACACCGGTCACAGGTAGTCAAACTTTCAGTGATATTGCTGCTTACTTTTTTTTTTTATTTTTCTCTTTTCGTAGTAATGATGGCTATATTTGATCTAAGTTACATAAATTGTTTTTCAGGTAAACATGCCCGAAGACATGCCCTTCCCATTGAAAACGTTTTGTTACTCTTAAGCGGGGTTATCGGCATGGATCACAAGGGTGACTCGGAATCTTTTAATGGAGCGTACGAGGACGATGCGAATTGTGCTTCTCCGTTCTAAGAAGATAATCGTATTACTACTTATATACAGGTTACAGAAAAGAAGGATGAGAACGAGATATCGAAAGATAAGATAGGAAGCCATCAGATCCCAATAATAGAATTGGGAGTGGCTGATGATCCTGACATCGAATCACACAGTGGTCACGAAGAGTAAATACTAAGTGTTGTTATCGGAATACAAAATCTCTTATTATATATAGACATTGGTATTAATTAATTGTTAAAATTGGATAACAACGTGGTAACCGCCGTCTTGCAATTAATGATATAAAATATGTCGAATCTTCAGGATTTCTCGTTGAGGCATGTTGCAAAACGGAGGCACTGGTGA